ACGTTTTCCCGCCAAAACCGAAAAATCACGTTTTCCCGCCAAAAATGAGAAATTACGTTTTCCGAGAAAACCGTAAAATTATATTTTCTGTCAAAATTGTGAAACTACTTTTTTTCTATCAAAAACCGTAAAATCTTGATTTTTCACAGAAAGTTTTTGTCAAAAACTATGTTTTAAATAAAAATTATGAAATTGTGTGTTTTGGAGGCCCATGGACACCCATTGTCCATTTGGTCTTTGACCAGTTAGACCATAGACCAATTGGGCTTTTATACAGTTGGACCATATATGAATTGGGCGCGTCCATAGCCCGTCCAAAATGAATTGGACAGGGCTAGCCCATGGTCGGCCCGTCCAATTGACACCTCTACCCAAAACGTCATCAATTGACATCTTCTTGATCACTTTCACTTCCTCTTGTAGTGAAGGGACACACGGTGATAAAGACTCGTTTTCAGACCTCTTCCACTCAGGTGTTTGTGGGCAAACAGCACTCTCAGGCTTTACTTCGTTATAGAAACTGTAAAGAGCATCAATATAATCAGCTTTGTATATCCCTGGAGGACGAGCATCATAAAACGTTTTAAGAGCCTGTGTAACACTCATCATAGGCCTAGACCGCATAAGGTAATGAACAATCATGAACCCTGTACGGTTATGACCATGCGTACAGTGAACGAGAAGCTTCTTAGGGAAGTTATATCTCTCAAACTGATTCACCTCGTGGACAAAAGTGTTTACAGAGACGTTATCAGGGACAGAGTCACGACCACAGCAACGAATCTTAACGTACTCGATCCCTTCCCTTCTTAACTCTGTGCTAGGGTTATAGTAACGAGTTGTGTTGGTGAGATCAATCACTAGACCAAGCTTCTTAGGTCCGTTACTTAACCAATATTTGAAAGAGTATCTTTTGTCTGGAGGGAGATGGTCGTTGTAAGATTCGCTGAGAGGGACTTTTGAAGGGATGATGAAACCGCCGATCTCTTTACCGAAACTAGGACAATCTAGCCAACCGTGAGGGATAGAGTTGGTGTTTTGGTATTGATCACGATGGTAATGTCTCGATCTTTTGCTATGTTCTTCAGAAGGGTTTTCGAGATGTCTCTTGCGGGGCAAGTAACTTCTTCTTCGGGATTCTTCTGAGTACATCGTAGTAATCATTTTTTTTCTCTCTAGAGGGAAAAACAAGAAGACATGAAGTTCTCTGTCTTTAACTTTAGTTGTCTGATCTCTCTGTCGACGAAACTTAATCCATCATCTTCTGTCTGATTTCGCCAAGTAAGAGAAACCTTGGAGGTGATTGAAGTTGTTGCGATCGAAAGTTCGAAAAGACTAACTCGCGATTGTAAGGAGAAGGGTCGTCTTGTATTTATAGACACGCGCAAGTCTTAGGGTTGGTCATATTATATGAGCGATGGAGTTGGGCTAATTTCATTAATGGGCTTTATTATTTAGCCCGTATAACTATAGAGGAGCGTGTTTGGGTGGGGGCCACATGGGCATGTTTAAACTAATGTGATGATGTCACAAAAGAATGTTGCAGTAACACAAAAGAGACTCTTCCCTCTCACTTTTGACTCTTTTTATGGTAACTTCTTCTGGTGACCAAAAATGACAGAGGACATTAAAACGGCAGGCAGTTGCAGAGATTCTCTGTTAAACTGACTGCAGTTTTGAATTTGACATATAAAGCTGCTTGCTTGCTTCCTCTCCACATAAAGTTCTGTGACACTGACAACACAGATCTTTTGAAGTCTCTTTATTTGTAGAATCTCCCTCTTACGAAGACATGATTTTCTACAAATGGCAATTCACATTTTTCTCAGGCTAACATCAGACTTGTTTAAATTGGTACTAAAATTTTTCAAGAACCAAAATGAAAAAGCTTTAAACAAGTACTGTGGTCATATTAAAATAATTCATGTAAAGAGCTAAGGTAAAGCTGACACACTGATAGCATTTTTCTTTTGAAATGTTTAAAGAACAGACTTTGAATGAACACTGAACTTGGACAAAGCTAAGAAACTTCTAGCTTACTATTCTTTATGAGGTAATCTGTTATTAGAAAGAAGGTAAGGAAAAGTTTGCTAAGCATCTAAAAAGTTCACAACCTACAAATCAAAGAGCAGCGTAAATTAAGCTAACAAAGAAACATTAGATTCTATAGGACAAAGGTTACTAGTGTATACAGAAATGGCATTCGTCAAGACTGATCAGGTTCCAGCATCGTGTAATGATATTATATTTGCAGAAATCAACTCATTCATCACGCTATAAGTAACAAATGTCGATAAGGAATCAACAGATTCTTTTAAGGTTTTTTGTTAGCACCAAGTAAAAGCTCTCTCATTCTCTAGTCGTTCTTCCAAGCATACAGAATCAAAGAAAAACCAAAACTTTGAGACTTGGAGTTTGTTGTTGCCATAATGTCCTGTGAGAAAGACAAGCTCTTGTCCGAAGAAGATTGACAAGTCCTGAACATGAACACTGCGTTTCCCGCTGAAGGCATCCCAAAGAGCCAACTATGAACATCCCACAGAACTTCCACAGCCATTCTATTCACAACTATTGTATCGTTCCCACGAAACTTCCACTTAAGCCGCTTCACCTGCAACAACGTCTTCCCATCCACACGAACAACGAGACACGGATCCGTAACGCTCGTGTCACATTCAATCACAAGATCATGGGTTTTCCCATCAGCACAAAGCTGAGCTTTTGTCGCAAACGCTCTCTTACCAAAAACATGCTCTTTCTTGGCGATGAACACCGCACCTAGAGACGAAGGTGAAGAAGCGTTGGTCTTCTTGAAAGCTTCCTTTTTCATATCACCAAGAAGCAGAACCATCTCTTTGTCCACAACAACACCCACATAGAATCCTCCCAAAGCTTCAGGTCCTGATCCGAATTTCGCAGACGATAGATCCCAAAAAACATCGATCTTACAAGAATACGCCTCTAAGCTCTTCGACCCTTTACGTTTGGTGAACAGCCAGGGCTTAATCTCGACTTTACAAAGACTCTGGTTACAAGAATCGTCAACACCAACGGTAACACTCTGACCCATCAGACTCTTGGTCCACGTCACAGTGATCAAGCAGTTCCTCCCTCGAATACGGCACTGGTAGACGCAAGTGACTAGATTCTGAGCGTTTTTACCGGAGTNTTCGACCCTTTACGTTTGGTGAACAGCCAGGGCTTAATCTCGACTTTACAAAGACTCTGGTTACAAGAATCGTCAACACCAACGGTAACACTCTGACCCATCAGACTCTTGGTCCACGTCACAGTGATCAAGCAGTTCCTCCCTCGAATACGGCACTGGTAGACGCAAGTGACTAGATTCTGAGCGTTTTTACCGGAGTTTGAAGACGATGAGTCCGCGACTTGAACGCCATTTTCACCGAAGCAAGACGGAAAATCCTTCATCTCTCTCTCTCTAAGGAATTTCAACGAACACTTTGGTGGGCCAAAGGGGCGTAAAGCTAAGAACTTTAAACACAGACGAAGTTAATTAAGACAATGACGGAAGCTGTACGTCGAGAAAAAGAAACCCAGATGAAAAAAAATTGAATCTTTTGTTTTTTTACCTGGAAGAATCAGTTTAAAGAAGGCGAAACTGGAGAAGAATTGTCATGATGGGAGTATGGTAGATTGGATCCGGTGTCTCCAAGGAAAGAGAATTTGATAAAGCCTGAGAGTGAGGAAGGAGAGAGAAAGAGGAGGTAGCAAATCGCCGAAGTGGAGGAAGAAGACGTGTGTGTTACTCTGGATAAAAACTCAAAATTGGAGACAGATAGAGACAAAAGGAGACTCCTTTCACTCTCAGAAATTATTATTACCATCATGTAATAAAATTCTAACTACATTTTGCGTCCGCATAAATTGACTGACATCCTTTGCCAAACAAACAAAACATGAAATACAAAAAATTAAGACTTTTTGTTTTTATTTCAGTATAATTTTGTAAAACAATTTAGTTTGAAACCCCATTTCGTTTCACATTATCACATATGCATTATCTTTTGAACTCATGGATTGTGTTTTGACGACAATTATTTATGAGATTGTCAACTTTAATTGTACCTTTTGAAAATTTGTTTTTGTTTTTTGCTTTAACATTTTGATTTATCAATCAGTTTGGTTATGGGATTTAATAAACTCTTTGATTATTTATTGAATGTATGGGTTCAACGTTTGGGAATCAACATCAAATTAATGTTGTACTTTTAAGCTATAAAGTCAAAGTTACAAATATGTAGTGTTTGCAGTTTGCACATTTGCAATGTTTTCTGGCATGTCTACGAAGAAAGCACAACCTTATCCTGGTGCTCGGAAGTGGATCAAATCCGATCTGTTTTGCAGCGGATTAAGTTATTTTCAACTCAAAAATTTGATATGTCCGACCCGTAAAGAGAATATATTTTGCAGATAATTCGTAGAATCTACAGGTAATTATTAAATAATAAAATAATATTTTATTATTTAAAAAAAAATAACATAAATATATATTTATAATTAAATCTTTAATATTTTTAATATTAAAAATAATTATTTACAACAAATTTTAGTATATTTTTCAATAAATATATTTTTTTTAAACTTTTTTTTGCGGGTATCCGCAAGTTAAATTAAACTAACTCGCACCCGCCCCGCATAAAATACACTTTATCTGCACTGCTATTTAATTTTCTCAAATCGATCGACATGCACCCGCCCTGAATCAAACGGGGCGGGACCCAACACTACCTTACCCTATAACTCAAAACTACATGAAAGTTAACATTCGTATAATTTTTGGTCTTAACCTTATTTTATAGGTTATCTCAAATTCAAACTTAACTTTGATATTTACTTTGCAATCGTAAAGTATTTTATGATGAAAATTTATAAATAACTTAACAAATATTTTGGTAGTTTGAAAAAAATTATGTATTTAATTTTTTTTTTAAATCAGTATTTTTAAATTCAACCTAAACCACAGCTAACCGATTAAACTAGTGATCCGATAATTCAATTTTGATTTTTTAAAATATCCATATTTAAAAAAATCACTAAAATCTGAGCAAACCAATTGGACCAATGGATAACTGATATGTATTGTTTAAATCTGTAAAAATAAGTTCTATTTATTTTCTTTGTTTTACTTGCATTTTACATTATTTAATTATCTAATCAATTTCAAAAAAAATTGTTAGAAATTATTAAAAGGGGTAAAATCTAATATTTTGCATCGTTTGGATATAAGATTAATTATAATGTTATTTGGAAACATGGATAGTTTTTTTTTGGCATCAACATAAACAGGTTATGTGAAGATCATGTAAACCAAACCGGTAACTCAGCATCCATATAAACAATGAAAGACGATTTCTTTCTGGCACTCTGCGCCAGACTATCCGCCTCTTTGTTGAGTATTCTTAGGATATGAATGATTGCTGAGTAGGTGAAACTTTGTCGAAGCACCTTATGTCTTCTAAATAATTTACGAAAGTTGGCTATTCCTCCGGTGTATAAACCATCTTTCTTCACCCATTGAATACAATAAACGTAACGTGATACTAGCGTAGATTTCTCATGCTTTCGATCGTCTAAATGAGCGTCTTTACTTCTGAATGTAATGGCGAAATACTCACTGCGTATTTTGAGCTCCCATAAGGCTTGCAAACCTTGGTATCGTGCTATACCAACCATGTTCTAAAAAAAATTCATGTGTTTTCTATGAACTATCCTTAAAATATGGATAATAGTATAAAGAAATTAATATATTATTTGAAAATATTATTAATAATATAAAAAAAAAGAAATATTAGTAATTTAATATAAGTTTAACTATTAATAGAAAGATATATTTAATTTAAAAACTTACAAAATCAATGTTACGTTTAATATAATGTTTATGATTTAATAAGATGCATCATTTATCAGCTTTTTTATTAATAAAGACAAGCATGAAGGTTTATTATCATCTTTCAGCTCTTAATGTTTACTCTTATGTGGTACTGCTACGTACATAAATTAATGGTATCCATGAAAAAACACTATAAGCAATAAATATAATACGGATCATGAATTCATGATGGTCTAGAATGCTGTGCTTTTGTTCGACCAAATATTATGCGTCAACACAAGAGTTCGTCATACCACGAAAGTAAGGAAAA